AGATGGCAGGGAATTATGCCCTTCCCTCTCCAAAACAGCTAACTGACCAATTACAACTTTCTTCCCCTCCCCCCAATCTATTACTTCTGCAATCTTTCTAACCAATATCTCCCTTACAGAGACCACTACGATCACTTATTGGAGGAAAGCACAACAATGCCAGATTCCTAGAATCTGGAGAGTAGGAAGCTTTGGCCCTTCAAGGGACCTCAGATCCAGTTATCCTTCACCATCCCAAACCCAAAATTGTCACTGGGATGAGCAGACCTCGCTCAAGGATGCCGCACATGACATCAGTCCTTCAACTAGACACATGAAGTCAGCGCCATCACCAACACACTCGTTCCTGGCCTCAACAGAGAAAGAGGCTCAAACCCTCAACTTCTTGATGGCAAGTGCATGTTTGGTAGTCAATAAAACTAGGCCCACTTATACTGTGATATTTGATGAGACATCTATCCTGACCTGCATCACTGAAACCTGGTTGGAGGGAAACCTTAGTTTACTCAGTTAAAGTAAGTTTTAGTTTACTCAATGCACAAATATCCCAAAATGAGCTAGAAAAATAAAAGAGGAGGTAGAGCAGCAATCCTCCTTCCCTCTAAATGCAAATGCAGAAGATACCCCACTCCGGAAATAAAAATATTTGAATATGTACTTATGATCTGTGTGGTGAGGGATAAAAAGGAACCTAAGACTGCTTGTGGTCTACAGCTCTCCATATGAAATAACTGGTTAACTGGTTTCATGGTAAGCATCACCCTTATTGGATGATGCTTACTAGTAACTGGTTAACCAACAGCACTGCAAGACTGGGGGTTAGCAGCGGGGAGCTCCTGGGGCTGGCAGTTAAGAGCCCCATGAGGCCAGCCAGCCAGGAGTGGGGAGCCATGGGGGCCAGGGACCAGGAGCCAGCAGCCCCATGGGGTCAGGAGCTAGCAGCACAGTGGGATCCCGCTTAATTGGTTAATCAGTTAAAAGTAATTTTTAACTGGTTAACTGATTAAATGGAATTTTACATCCCTAATATGAAATCCCTATCCTGGTCCCTTATGAACTCACAGACCGGATGCCCAGAATAGGGCTGCAATACCCAGGTTCATGGTGCTTGGAGAGATCACTTCTACATAGACGCTGACAAAGACATGTTAGCAGCTGATTTTTTGTCCAATAGAAAACCCCCTGGATTTCACACAGGCAGTCTCGGAAGGTATGCACACAGCCAGATACATGTTGGACCTGATATAGTAGTGGACACTGAGGGCATCACAAATGGCCTGCTCAGCTGGATCAACCACCACGTCATACAGGTTAATGTCATGGCCTTCCCCAGAACTACTTGGAAAAAGTTACAGTTTGAGCAAGCTCTGGAAAGGCAAACCGCATGCTGTAATGACAAGGGGCCAGCTATCTGTCGGAACAGTACAATCACCTGATGACCACAAGTATCGATACCTTCAACTCACATAGAGTTGGCCCTACAGATTTGGATAGGGTGTGTTCCTCCAAGGTCACATGATCCTTGGTCCGGATTAACATCCTTTCTGCCCAGCATCGTGAAAACTCTAGCCTGACACCATCAATTAGCTTCCCTCCCCTTATGCTCTTTACCTGAGGAAAAGAGAATTAACTATTTTCAATTCCATACTTCACCGACAAGGAAACAGACATACTTCCATTTTGACATGTGTTGGGTGCTCACCATGCTCTTTTTTTGCCTGCACACCAATTTCTTCCTCTCCATTTCCCCACATAGGTCACCAGACTTTTCTACTTTTTCTTCTCCTTTGCCACCTGCTTGCCTATGAATCCCCCTTTCCTGTTCTTGCCCCTACCCTCCCAAATAGAAGGTTTGTTGAAACTCCATATGGAAGAGAAGATTGAGGCATTAAGTCAGATGTCTGCAGTAGGGAACTGGAGAAAGAGACTAGAATCTGCTGGGAAAGAATGAGAACTTGAGTGGAAAGAAACCAATGAGTAGAGGCGGAAATAGGACAGCAAAAAGAGAGACATGGGGAAAAGCCCAGGAATGTAGAAGAAAGAGGAAAGAAAAGGGAAGACTGGATGAAGAGATGTGGGGAAGGGGAAAGGAGAAATGAAAAATTAACTGAAAATGAATATGAAAAATACTGAGAGGCAGAGAGAAGGCAAGAACATTGTTGAGTAAAACAAGAACAACAAAACCAAGGGAATCACGCCATAGGTGTGCTTTTGGAACTTTTGTATTTGATTGGTGGAAAATGTAATGCCAAAATGTTACATAGCATACTTAGTGTATTCTTGATTTTATAACAAGGGAATTTACTTCTTTAAGATGAGGAGAGATTGAGAGACATAGTTGTCAAAATCCAGTGTTGTATGGTAAAGCAGAATTATTTGTCTGAGATTCATGTGTGTTTGCAATCTGATGCTGGATTTTTGAATACACGTGTGTGTGTGTGTAGGGCTATGGCTACACATTACGAATTTTTTCCGGAAGAGGAAATGCAAATGGAGCGCTCATAAGTATTTCTCGTGCTCTCATTTGCATATTCTCTTCAAAAAATGAGTCAATAAGCATTCTTGCGCAAAAGGGGGTTTTTGTGCAAAAAGGCGCCGTCTACACAGTGCTTTTTTGCACAAAAATATTTTCCGCAAAAAGGATCGGAGAATATGCAAATGAGAGCACAAGAAATGCTAATGAGTGCTCCATTTGCATTTCCTCTTCCAGAAAATGTTCGCAGTGTAGCTGTAGCCTACGTTTGAGTAGGTCTGAGGTATTGGCAGCCTTAAGAGATTTTCCAGCCAAGCCTCCTTCACAAAGACAGGACCAAGTATCCCTATATCAGGGGTGGGCAACAGAACAGTGATGGTTCAGGACATTGATTCCTGCAGCTCCCATTGGTTGGGAATGGCAATTTGCAGCCAAGGGGAGCTGCAATCATCTGTACCTGCAGAGGTGTACGTAAATATAGCAACAGCAGCCTGCCAAGGGCTAATCACGGTGGACCAGATCCAGCCCATGGGCTGGTACTTGCCTGCCCCTGACCTAGTCCATTCCAACTGGTGCTTGTCTAACCTAATCTTAAAAATCTCCAGTGATGGGGGATTCCACAACCTCCCTTGAAAGCCTGTTCCAGTGTTTCCCTATAGTTGGAAAGCGTTTCCTAGTAGCTATTTCAATTTGTCTTGATGCAGATTAAGACAATTACTTCATATCCTACCTTCAATGGATATGGACAACAATTTTGATCAGAGTCCTCTTAACATAATTATCATATTCCCCCTCCTGAAAGTTCTTTTCTCAGGACTAAACATACCCTGTTATTTTTTTAACCTTACCTTAAGTTTTCTAAACTTTTTTCTCTTTTCGCTGGACTCTCTTTCTCCAGTTTGTACACATCTTTCCTAAAATATGATGTGCAGAACTGGTTGAGACCCTACCAGTGCTGAGTAGAGAGGCACAATTACTACAAACCTTACATGCCTGGTAATACATCCCAGAAGATTAGCCTTTTCTGCAATTGCATCAAACTACTGATTCATATTCCATTTGTGATCTTCTAGGGCATGTCTACACTAGGAAATTATTTCAAAATAACGTATGTTGAAATCATAACTCCTGAAATAACTATTTTGAAGTAAGCTTATTCTCTGTGGAAAGCAGGTGTACAGATTTCGAAATAACCAGTCCCTTATTTCAAAATAATGGGCTTGGTAGTATGGACACTCCACTTGTTATTTCAAAATAAGGGGAGTTATTCTGAAATAACTCCCTAGTGTAGACCAGGGCTCATAGCCTCCACATACCTTTTCAGCAGAACTATACCCTAGCCAGTTACTCCCCATTTTGTAGTTGTACATTTGATCTTCTCTTCCCAGGCATAGGCATGTGAAGTAGGGACTTAGCAGTGTTGCAACACCGCCCGATTTTGCACCCCGCACTAGGGTCCCAGCTGCCAGCCCATGCCCAGGGACTCCGCTGCTGCCCAGAGACTCAGCAGCCAGCTCCAACGGTCCCCCGTTGCCTCTGGGGCTCCTGGGCCTGTGGATTCTGCTTTTGCCATTGGTCCCAGCTGCTGAGAGGTCTGCTGCCCCTCAGGGTCCCAGCAGCTCTGCTGCAGGCCCTGGGGCTCCAATGGTCAGCCAGAGGCTCTGCAGCTGCCCTCATCTCTGGCCCCAGCCTGGCATGGTGAGGGGCGCGGAGGGGGTTAGGTGGAGGGATGTGTAGCTCTACAGCCCTGTGCCAGGGCTGGATTACCCAATAGGCAGACTAAGCACGTGCTTAGGGCACCAGCAAAGCAGGGGCACCAAAAAAAAAAAAAAAAAAAAAAAGAGATTTTACGGTATAGTATTGTTTTTATTTTGAATTACATATGGGGGGCACCATAATATTTTCAGTGCTTAGGGCCTCTAAAGGTCTTAATCCGGCCCTGGCCCCGCCCCCGCCCCTAAAAATTGTTCCCCCACCACTGTTCCCAAGTGTATTATTTTGCATTTGACCTACTGAATTTCATCTCCTTGATTTTAGACCAATGTTCCCATGTGTCAAAATCATTTTGAATTCTAACCCTGTACCCCTAAATGCATGGAAGCCCTCTCATCTTGGTGTCATCCACACATTTTATCAGCACACTCTTAACTTTCTTATCCAAGTCATGCATAATGAAAATACTGAATAATACCACAGTCAAGCCACACCCGTGCAGCATCTCAATAGATACATTCTCCCAGTTTGACAGTGAAACACTGAAAGCTACTCTTTGAGTACAGTCTTTAAATCAGTTATGATAATTTAATCTAGATCACAATTCCCTAGTTTGATACCTTTTGGGGGCTGCTTTTGTGGAGGAATTTATTTCAGAAAGACCTAGAGATAGGGCTCCCTGGGCCTCCTCCATTCCCATTTGTTTGTTTGTTTGGCCTACTTACAGATTCCCTGTGTTTTCTTAGCTAGCTAAGGGCCCGAGTGGGTATAATCTCAGCTGCTTCCCTGAATCATAAAGAGCAGGAGTCCTTACCTCTGGGCTGGAGTAATGAGAGGGTTTGCTGCCGTCACTCTCACTGGAACTGCTTTCACTCTCTGAGTCAGATTCTGAACTGCTCTCGGATTCACTGGAGCTGCTGCTACTTGACCTCTTGCTGGAGAGTCCTGAGGTTCTGCTACTGGGTTGCGGCACGACAACGCTGCCAGCCCCACGCACAACCCACCAAGGGGGGAAGAAAAACAAACAAACAAACAAACATAAAACAAACCAAAAAAAGGCAGTTCCACTTTCTGCTGTTATAGAGAGTATATATAACTCACAGCTGCCTGAATATTGGCAACCTGGGCTTTGCTGATTTTAAGGATAAGATGGGCTGAAAATAACTTTCATTTAATAGGAAAAATATCCAGGTTGAATAAATATTAGTTCTATACTAATATTCCACTGCACCTCTGCCTTGTATGAGGAAAGATCGTGTTTTCAAGTTGCCTTTTCCATATTTAACAGTAGTTTTAACAGTACATCTCCAAGTCAGACCACTCAAAAAGATCAAATTTTGGTAAAACTGGACTATAGAAAACAGTCTCCCAATGTCTGCTGAATACTCATTTTCCCAGAATGGAAAGCAGCAAGATGGCAAAGATTAACGGTTATTAAACTAGGATGTACTCCATATTACTGGTCAACTAAAAAAAAATCCCCTAGAGCCGCGTTTCTCAAAGTGTGGGTCCCAATCCCCCAGGGGGTCACGAGCAACTTAGAGGGGGTCACGGTATCACAAAGTTTGAGAACCCCTGCCCTAGAGAAACATTTCTTCAGGCTTTCCATATATTAAATAGAGATGATTTAGTTAGCTATATGTACAATGTTTACGCAGAACTCTGCTAGATCTAAGGTTCTGATCCTGCAGAAACTTAAGCATATGCTTAAACACGTGAGCAGTCAATAGGACTACTTACAGTCTTAAAAGTTAAGCACACCCATAAGTTTTACAGGATTGGGTCATTAAATTCTGGATCCCCACACAATAGGAAAATATATTCTTTTCACAGGTAACTAATTGACCAAACATATTAAAGTACCATACAGCCATAAATATTTGAGACTGTTAAGACATCCAATCCATTCCTCAGGCAATGGAAGCCTCCCTATAGTACAGTACATTTTCTAGTGATTTGTCCAGTCTGGTGTTAAGTGACTCATATAAATGGAGCTTTCACCTCATCCCATGGGAAACTACTCTGCAGCTCACAGATCTCACTGCTATAAGTTTTTCCTCCTATTCCATTTAAATTTGTCCTCTTAAATTATTGTTGCTGTTTATTATTTAATCTCATTACTCATAGCGATCCCCTTAAACCATTCTCCTTCCCCCTTGGTGTTTATACCCATCAAATATTTGTAGACTGTTTTTCTGTCCCCTTGCAGCCATCTCTCAGCCAAGTTATATGTATATAGCTTCTCTGATCTTTCCTCATAAGTCAACAGTTCCTCCAGGTGCTGGATCATTTTTATAGCTCTTTTCTGAACTCATTCCAATTTATCTGTATCTTTCTGATAATGAGAAGCCCAAAACTGAACATGATATTGCAGGTGTGTTCACACCACAGCCATATAAAGATGGACCATTTCCTTGTCGTTCCTTGATGCACTCCCCCTGCATATGTGCACCTAAATTACATTGACTTTTTGGCAGTAATATCATATTTCAAACTCATGTAGTTTGCTGCTCCTTAACACCCTTGTATCTCTTTCAGAATTACTGCTTCCAGGATTCTCTCACCTAATGGCTGTATTTTGGATGGTGTGCTTCCAAAGATATTAGCTTGCATTTTTTCAAACTGAATCTCATTTTGTTATTTATTGCCCATGTTTCCAGGTGCTTTTGATTTATTTCTCTGCTTTCACTGGTGTCTGCCACAGCTCCTAATTTAGTATCAAATGCAAACTGAATTAAATGGCTGTTCACTTCCTCTTCCAGACCAGTAATAAGGATGTTAAATGAGTCCAAGCCAAACACCCTGGTACCCCAATAATCATATTCTCCCCGCTCAAAACACCACTCTTTATCATTGCCCTTGTTTACATCCTTCAGTCCATACTGGCTCATATCTTCGTCTCTTTATTCAAGCTAATAAGAATTCATTTCAGGGATATTTTGTGTCAAATAATTAATTTCAATTCAAATATACTACATCTAGTGCTTTCTTTTCATCCACTAATACCACCTAGAAATAAGGATGTTAAATATTGGTTAATTGAATAGTTGGTTAACCTCATGAATTCTTATTGGTTAGTCGACTATTCAATAGTCCCCAGAGGTGGGGCTGGCAGCCAGTGCTCTCTGGTCCCACTCCCAGGGAGCCTCCTGCCCCCTCACACTGCTGCGTCTCTGTCAGGAGCAGGAGCGTGGGGTGCCAGGCAGGAGCTGGTCCACGAGGGGAACCAGCTTAAAACCCAGCTCCCTCGTTGACTGGCTGCCCGTCACTTCGTGCTGCTGCCTCTGTCCAAAGTGGGGGTCTGAGCTCTTGGGTGCAGTGCGAGTCAGAACTGAGCCAGGTTCTGGCTCTTAATACACTTTAAATGTAGAGCTGCAGTGAGGGTAAGTTCTGGACCCAAACCAAGCTGGGACTGCTCTGAGCTGCTGGCCAGCCTGCTAAAAAATGTACTGGGAAAGGCAGGGATGGAGAGAGAATGCGTGTAGTCTATAGCATTAACCTATAGGCTTTTGCATCCCTACCTAGAAAGCAATTACACTATTACATCCCTACCTAGAAAGCAATGATCTGATACTTGATGCAAGCCTTGTAAGACAAGAAATTTGTGGGTAAGATTTTTTCCGAAATTGAGATGCACTCAGTGTAGGAAAGCGGAAGGCCGTCAGAAAGGCATTTGTAACTTCCTGCTCTTCTGCTCTGTGGAGCTGCTGGCCCCAGTCCCAACAGGAGGCTCCCACTTAGGCCAGCTGTTAAAGGTCTACAAGGGACCATTTGCTTGATGTGGACTGGTGCAGCAGCACTTTCTGTACCTAGTTATTCTCTCACCCCTAATATATCCCCTTTCTGCAGTGCTTAATTGGTAATAAAAGAGGTGCTGGGGCTCAAGAAACTAGGTGCCGTGGCTCAAGCAAGTTTCGTAACTGATGAGGCAAGCCCAGAGGTGCTCATCCTCTTGCACAAGTTATGTACTGCCTTCCTGCCCCCTTGGCATGTCCCCTACCTAGCCAAGGGCCAGTGAAGGAGCTGGTTCCACGGACTTTATGATAGCTGAGCACTCTCTGCACTGGGAGAATTCTCGTCTCAGTATCAAGCCGCCTCACACTGCCCGAGGCAAAAAGGAACCAGACCACATAGGAAATCTGGCCCTGTATGTTTTGATTGAAACAATAAATAAAAGGTAGTGAACGCAGCAGGCGCAGCTGGGATGTATTTACTTTTGCTGAAGAACTCCAATCAGGGCTCCCCTTTCAGAGGCAGAAATTGTATATTAACAGAGGCCCACACCAGTTAGGTAGCCTAGTGCTGCAGAGACTAGTAAAGGAGAGTATACAATCCCATTTCTGTGGTGATGTGTTTATTATCATGTCCGAACATGTACCCAGACACAGTGACTGCCTTTAAAAACTCACCACGAATGGTGTGTGCTGTTATTTGTAATGTCTCCTTCTGTAATTGTTTAAATGTGGAAGCCACAAGATTTTCAGGGCACCCATTTGTACAACAGTGAAAAGAGATATGCAGATGCAGGTTGTCCCTCCCCAAACTGGGACTCTCTGATCCGGCAACATCCATGGTCCAGCAAGACTATGTATGTTCCTGGACCAGAGAGCCCAAGGACAAGAAGGTCTGGTGGTAAGGTAGGGGCATGGTGTGTGTGGTGGGGGGACAACTGAGCCCTACAGGAGTCCTGTGTCATAGGGGGTGGGTGTTGTGGGGAGTTCTGGCCCCAGTGGCCAGGAAGCTCCAGCCCTGTTCTGGCCCCAGCGGCTGGGGAAATCCAGCCTGAGCCTCAGTCAGGGAGCTGTGGCTCTGGCCCCAAATGTGGAGCACCGGTCCCACCTGCAGAGCCAGGTGGCTGCAGAGCTCTAGCCCCAGTGGCAGCAGTAGGAGCTCCGGCCCTGGCAGCAGCTGAGCTGGTGGCAGCTAGAGAACCCCCAGGGGTTAGGGTAGCAGCAGGGCCAGGCTGGGGCACTGGGGCAACACAGGCCATTAGGGGAGAGATCTCCCTTGGTCCGGCAAATCCTCTCGTTTGGGACCAGTCACATCTCGAGGATGCTGGACCAGAGAGGTCCAACCTGTACTTGATAAAGAAGCCTGACTGTAAAAGGACTCCTGAGTTTTGTCACTACTTTGGGACTGATCGGCAGTGTACACGTGTGAGAGGTCCAGTAAATCAGAGATGGGCATTTCTCACTTTATTTACTTCTAGTAATAGATTCTAGTTATTAGCCTTGCTAATGAAATGGTAAGAACAAGGCAAGTCACTATGAAATCTGAAAAGACAAGTGCATTTTCTGAAGAAGCGGTTAAGGGAGTCAGTGTTCTGAGAGCATCCTACTTGACTAGATTCTTAGGCTCTCTCAGAAAACCATTATCCATGTCTTTCTGACAAGCTTCCCCAACATCAGAGAACATCTGCACATTTATGTCCTGCCTCTGGTGGTTGTGGTTTTAATTTCTAGCCCATCATTTTTGTTTGGCATTGATTAAAGTATTCAGAATTCCTAGACAGGGGATGAGGGATAAAAAACAGTAATATTTCTTTCTTGTGACATGTAATGCTTTTTCTAGGCTGTGGAATAGAAATCATTACTACAGCCAAACATATAAAATTTACTGTTGAACTCGTTACAAACATCTGTAAATCTATATTTGCAGCTATAATGATAGCCAATATGTTAAAAAAATTAAACCATACAAATGTTTTTTCTATTTTAAATGAATATATGATAATCTCCTATCCTCCTACTATCTCCCTGGCTGAGAATACACCATGTTTTTGAAAAGTGTTCATTGGACTTTGGTGGTTCACTGTGAAAACTCTTGCACATTTCTTTTTTACTTTCTTTTTAAAAAACATCAACCGTGAATATGGCTCAATTAATGTTATTTTGAACGTCTCTTGCTTAAGCATGCTAATGCATGCTGTCAAAATAAAACAGACGTGTATTTTAATCTGTGTGGCAAATAACACACAGAG